AGTGTCTAATTGGGCGAGGGGGAATGCAGTCATCAGAACAGCAGTGGTGGTGGAGGTAGCTAGTGCTTCATGCATGCATGCTTTCTCTACGCTAGCCTTTATACTAAACACTTTACCCACATTAATTCAGTTAATCCTCACCACAACCCATGAGGTTCTGTTTTCACACTGTAGTTTCTAATGAGGAAACTCATCACTCATAGAGATCAGGGTTTGCTGAGGTTCCGTGGCTAGTGATTGGTGAGCTGGGATTCCAGTCCAGCTGTTGGCCTTCAGAGCCAGTGCCACCCACACTACCTTGCCATAGAGACTGTAGGTGAAAGAGAGAAGCAGGCACAGGTGATGGGAGGAGCTACTGTATCCCACTTGGAGCTGAAGGACCCGGTGCATCCCAGGGATCACCTGGCATTAGATGCAGGCCTGTGCCCTTGACTTTGGTGGCCCCGTTTTGTGCTATAGAACTGTCTCCTCTCTCCATGCCCTCATTCCCAGCAACACTCTTGTTTTCACACCCACCTTTCCTTCTTCTTTCACCTTTCCTGCCTACTTTGCCCCAAGCTCATGTGAGCTTGAATTAATGGTTATGGACACTCACCCGTAGTGTATTGCATAAATTGCCTTTGGCCTAGTATTATGACTGTCTAGGCCTCTCAGTTATTTGTGTGATATTTAGTGTCCTGGAAAGGCCTGCAAGGCTTCCTCTAGTCAGTCCTCCCTCACTGTGCCATGAATGTCGATGTCAGTGAGCTGCTCACATTCTCTGTGTCCATAGTGATAGTTTCTTCTCTAATATCAAGTAGGAAGCCTCTAGTGCAAAGGTGTTTGGTGTGTTCCATGGTGGCGGCATTGCCGTGGATTTCTGCTGGCCTGCTGGAGGATGGGGGGCGGGTGCGGGGAGGGAAGGTTGCCTCCTGAGCTACTGGAGTGAGTGTTTCCTGAGCCTGGAGCAGCTTCTGCAGGCAGGTTGGGCTTGGGAGCCAGCTGAGTGGGTTGGAGCCCTGGACTGCTGCGTAGTGGGCACCTTGAGCCTCACTGTGCCTCCCTGGCAGGCTCTCGGCGAGGAGTCTGTAACGTACGGATTTGGTGCCTGCTGTCAGGAGGCGTTTAGAAAATGGCCAGTTTAGTGTTGTTCAGTATTATCATTTCTTCCTCCTTCCAGTGGAATCATCTCTCTGAGCTGTCTACCCTGAACGATCTCTAGGTATTTGTTCACTGTGAGATTCCTGTTGACTACAAAGATTCCTGGAACCGGGTGCAGTTCACAGAGGGGAGAAAGATAATGGGGGACGGGTCACTAAAGACAAATATGCCATTTTATGTTTGGACCCAGCCGTAGGGGATATAATTTGACTTTAAGCAAATTTAAAACAAATGGAACTAAACTAAAATATTTTTCTGTGTTTTCTTTTAGGAGAAAAAAGCAACTAACAAAACACAGAAATAAGGAGGATTATTCAATATGCAGTTTGCAGGGTATGTTTCGGAGCCAGTAAAAAGTCACCTTTGCTTTATGTAACCCACGTCTTCACAGTTGGCATTGGTGTTCACAGTGTGAGATCCTCAGAGATCAAAAAAGATTTAGTTGTTTCCTACACTAACTCACAATACACTTGATAGTGAGATTAGACAGTGGCCTAATACTTTAAGAGATGCTCACTAACAAGGATATTTTTCCTCCCAACCTTCAGTGAATTATGATGTCCTGTTTTTAGGAATACAATTGTCGTTTTATAGACACTGAAAAGGGGGTATGTGTATAAAGGAAGTAAATTCTTTGATAGTGAGAGTGAGGAATCATTTCACTACAGGTAGTCTTTCTTTACAAGATTCGTTCCCATGAACTTGCTAGTAGATTAAAAATTATTTCATAGTGCCCTTTGCTGGCACAGTTCTGAGAAATCTCATAGAGTGTTAATTGTGATTACTTCTGGGTACCCCAGAAAAGACTTTTTTCCTTATCTCTCTGTTTACTACTCTGTAATAAAAATTTTCAATTAATTAAATTAAAAAATTTAATTTAAACAGATTTATTTATAAAATGTGATTTATATAGCCACTTTCCAGGAAGTACATCTAAACTAAAGTGATAGATGAAAAAAATATGTATTATATAACTTGGGGGCATCCTGAAGAAGTTTGTTTTGAAAACTGAAGTTGTATTTGCAATAGTAACATTGACTTGAGTAGAATTTTAAGAATAATTACTGCCCTTATAATTAATTGAAGTTAAAGATTTAAAGATACTTTTCTGTCCCCTGGAGTTAGCTTAGAGTTCTATTTTTGAAAATTAAATATGCTTAAATTAAACTTTTTGGGGGGGAACTACTGTCCAAATAAAGTAAGATCTTACCATTTAGATTTTCCTGTTAATCTTATTAAAATTATTAGCTCAGATACCAAGGATAACACACAGTATAGAAAAAATTTGCTTCCCCCCACAAAACTTAATACATACTACTGGTTTCGTTTTTGTTTTTTTTGTGTGTGTGTGTGTTTTTTTTTTTTTTTTTTGGCGTTACCTACTCGCGCTCTTTAATCTTCTTTCCTCAACTCCTAAACTTCCCCGCCCTTACTTCTTCAGCAGAAGGTCCACATTGGGCGCCTCACGCCGCGAACCCTCTCTATCCCCCAACTATTGGGTGATTCTGCTCTGGTTTCTTATTTAAACAATCTTAGGAACAATTAATAATTTAGTTTCTGAAATTAATGTGCAGAAACAGTGTAGCATAATGGTTCAGAGCACAGGTTTTAGTGTCAGACGCCTCACCTCTTGTGCCCACTGGCCTGTAGCTTAGGCCAAGTTACTTACTACTCTGTCCTCAAAACGGGGCCACGAGTCCTTATCTCTGAGAGCAATTGTAAGGATTAAATGAGGATGACGAAAAACATTTCGCATGTTTTGACTTATTTTGTTTACTTAAATATGTATTGAGGGGAAGGTAGTGATTCATATCATTTTCATTTGCATGAGAGATTGACTTTATGCCTCTTAGAGTTGACATTTTAACTCTTAAGATAGTGTCTTAAATGTAACATTGTTTAGAGTAGTCAAATGTTTATAAAGGGTGTGGGCTTTGAAATGAAAATTCAGTTTCCATTTACTTATTTCAGACTTCTCTTAAAATTTTTCTTTAATGAAATTATAAAAGGAAATGTTATAGAAACTTAATTTTGTTTCTTCTCTTATTTTGTAGATGCCCATGGCAACATTGAAAATGAATTCCTTATTTTCACCAGATATTCTTCTATGAGAAGACACGTTTCAAACAGTTTGAATAGTTTTTATTCTGTTGGACCAGCATGGCAGGATTCAAGCGAGGATACGATGGGAAGATTGCTGGATTGTATGATCTGGATAAAACCTTGGGCCGAGGTCACTTTGCAGTGGTTAAGCTTGCCAGGCATGTCTTTACAGGTGAAAAGGTGGCAGTAAAAGTTATTGACAAGACAAAGTTGGACACACTAGCCACTGGTCACCTTTTCCAAGAAGTGAGGTGCATGAAACTGGTGCAGCATCCCAACATCGTACGTCTCTATGAAGTGATTGACACCCAAACCAAACTGTATCTCATTCTGGAACTTGGGGATGGAGGAGATATGTTCGATTACATAATGAAACACGAGGAGGGACTTAATGAAGACTTGGCCAAGAAGTACTTTGCTCAGATAGTTCATGCTATATCTTATTGCCATAAACTCCACGTGGTTCACAGGGACTTGAAACCTGAGAATGTGGTCTTCTTTGAAAAACAAGGTCTTGTGAAGCTGACAGACTTTGGTTTCAGCAACAAATTTCAGCCAGGAAAGAAGCTCACTACCAGCTGTGGGTCTCTCGCATATTCTGCTCCAGAAATTCTGCTTGGGGATGAGTATGATGCACCTGCAGTAGGTAGGTCACCTGCCAATACCTGCTCACTTGAATTCTAGTGGCTAGAGTGCAGTGGGTCAGGTCAGTTGTTTTGTGTTTGTTTGTTGTTGTTTTTTAAATCTAAAAATAATTCCCAAGAGAATTTCTATTAAATGCATCTTAATGAACAGATTGCGTTTTATGAATGCCATATATAGCCCTAAAGTTGGCCAATAGTTTACCTTTTAAGTGGCAAATGTTTATAAGGTATTTTTGTCAGAACAAAGGAAAACAAGTAAGTTATCATTTAAGGTAATCTCTTATCTGGTTATTATAATTTTTTTAAAGGTCTGGGTGCTTTTCCAATCTTCTTAGGTTCTTCTAGTCATTTCCTTTCTGGGAATCCCTTTAACAGTCACCGAGACCCTACTGTAAAGGTACTACAAATATTACAGTGCAATGTGAAGAATTTGGGCATTGGAACCATTTATTAGCTGTGACCTGGACATTGTACTTGATCTCTTGGCTTCATTTCTTCATCTATAAAACAGAGATCAGCTACAGGCATCGTAGTATCATGTACAACAAGACACTGTTTTTCAAGTTAGACTATGCGCTCTGGACAAGAAAGGGCTAAGAAATGGTTTCTGGAAGGCAGGTAGCCCACTGCAGATGTTCCTGAGGCGTGTAGGGGTTGTTTTTACTTCATTTTTAGTAATTATGGTCTGGGAATGAAAGTCGCTATGCTAGAAACACACTGCACTTTTTCAGTGTCCACATGCATGCTACCAAATGGCAGTCTTAACACTGTAATTTTAAGAATAAAAGCAATTTCAAAATCAGGTGATTAGCCCCAAATGATCCTTATCTGCTGAGGTGAGAGCAGTTAGCCTTCCGCATGTTCAAAGCATGCACTTGTATTTGTTTTAGAGCTGCGGTTGGTTCTTCACTTTCTCTGGCTCAGTGATACCTTACGTTTTGATGGACACATCTTAAAATTGTGTGCTGAAGCATCTTCAATTATTCCTTCTCTGGACCTAACTTACTCCTCGTGAAGGACATCTCAGAATCCTGTGTGCATTGAAAAATGACTGTCTGGTCCATCCGAAGAAGTAGAGTAGTAAGACGTAAGCTGAGGCATTCTGGACTATTGATTTCTAAGCAGCTTATGGTTTGTATAATAAGTGAGTTTTGGGAAACGTAGACATATTCAAGCCGAGAGTGGTGTTAGACTAGAAGCCACGTTTAATGCACTGAGGTAGTTATTCCTCACTCTGCTCTAGTCCTCGGATAAAATACCCCACACACCCTCCTTAAGAGTCTTCTAGAGCAGCAGTCACCAACCAGCCGGTGGTCCGTGAGGTCCAAAAGGTTGGCGACTGCTGTTCTAGAGGATCTAGAAAATGGGTGGCCCCAGAAGACCTGATTGCAGCATTACATGTAGAATCTGTTCAGATATTTAAATATTTTACCTGAGAATTTTGTAAAGGATTACTCCTTCCCATACAGATAACAACCTGAGCCACGATACCTTTGGATTAGAACTTTGACGTAGGCCTGAAGGATTGGAAATTGAGGTTCTTTCATTTCCCACCTCAGTAGCCGCCCACTAGAGGCAGATGTCCTAGCAGTGGCCCAGTGTTTCCCGACCTGGTTAAAGTTTCTATTAGTTACTCTTCCACTGCTGCCCTGGACACATGGGCCTGATGGGTTCCGGTTGGGAGACCTTAGGCGGTGGCACAATTTCAGTTCCGAGCGTGAAGATTGGGATCATGTTTTGAGGGAAGATTTGTGCCTCTCCTCCACACAGGGAAGGAAGTTGGTCTGTTAAATTTAACATAGTCCCTTGTTTGTTTCATTTTAAAGTAAACGTAAAGCTTGCATTGTCCTTGCCCAGCAGAAGCTGCATGGCCACCTGGGTCCCGCACAGCCACACACGTGGCATTCAGTTGTCAAGAACTGGGAATGAAAGTCGCTATGCTAGCATCGGTTATGAAAAGCATGTGCATACAAATGTGCCACACACGCTCCAAACCCAGCCACCAAGTGCAGCATCACTTACTCTGAAAGATGCCTTTTACAAAGTATAACATCGTCGTGAGTCATATAAAGCCACGAGCATAAACAAAAATCCTCTCCTAAGCTTTCTGAAGTTGCACATGCCTGTGAGAAGTGACATTCATTTCTGAAATCAGAGTTCATTGATCTGGCACGAACTCTGTAAATAAAAGCGCTTCATTTATTCAGTGTTAGTTCTGCATTCACAATGTGCGGGCTTGTAATGTGAATGTTGTATGATTGTATTTGGGAAGCAGGTAGGCAAGCTGCTGTGCCCTGGGTTTTATAATTAAGCTGCTGTTGAATTTAGTGTGAGTAATAAAGATTCTTGAGCATGAAATGTTATGGGTGGAGTAATCTACAGGTACCATAAGGATGGTTATTTCAGGCTAACTCAATCATTGATTCTTCAGTGATTGGCCTGGAAAAGGTGGTAGAAATGGTTTATGAGGTTTGTTTTTTAATATATTTTATTGATTTTTTACAGAGAGGAAGGGAGAGGGAGAGAGAGTTCGAAACATCAATGAGAGAGAAACATCGATCAGCTGCCTCCTGCACAGCCCCCATTGGGGATGTGCCCGCAACCGAGGTACATGCCCTTGACCAGAATCGAACCTGGAACCTTTCAGTCCGCAGGCCGACGTTCTATTCACTGAGCCAAACCAGTCAGGGCGATTTATGAGTTTTGATGTTTTTCCTACTACATGTTTAGTTCTGCTGCTTATTGCTCTCCCTGTTACATACAAGCCCAGGTCAAATGAAATAGAGGTGGATGCCCCTTTGAAAAGGATAATTTACTCCACTGTACTAGTGGTGTGGTAAGATCTCAGCTCGCCACCCATCCATTTCACTAGGGGAGATGAAAACAAAACACCCACCTTGCCTGGGCCCCACCCCTGAAGATTCTGATTCCGATCATCTGGTGTGGCCACACCCAGGAGCTTCCCTGGCTTCCAGCGTGCATCCAGCCCACCTACCGTTGACTTGAACCCTAGATTCCCGTATTTTTAGTTACTAGTGGAAAAACAATCCAATATTCTAATTCTACTGTTCTTTAAAGAATAAGTGTTAGGGACGGAAATATAACATCTAGCTTCAGAAAGTGCACAAGAATGTGTAGTTGTTTTTCATGCCGAAAGAAAGCTGTGCTCATCAGTTCCTTTTCATCTGCCCTTTCATTCAGTCTGTTCACGTCACCCCTCTGTTCAGAACACTTTCAAGACCTCCCATTTCATTCGCAACCAAAACGAGAGGCGCCCCCCACCCCCACCCCCTGCTCGGTGCCCAGCGTGGCCCTCAGAGCTGGCTTCCCAGCTCTTCCCTAATCCCTCCCACTGTCTCCCAGCTGCCTGCTCAGCTCCAGCCACTCCGTCTCCTTGCTGTGAGCCACAATCCACACTCAAGCCTGCCTCAGGTCCTCCACCTCCCCTCCCCTGGCCGAGGGCACTCTTGGCCCCCATACCACTTCCTGGCGGCCTCACCATCTGCTCTGCAGGCGGAGGGCCCCACCACTGCCTCTCTCCTGCCTCACCTGACTCATTCCTCTGGTCTCTCGCTTCCCCTGGTGAGATTGGGGTAACAGTAGTGCCCGTCTTAGGGTTGTTATGGGGTTAGATGAATGGTAGTGCCTGTGAAGTACGAGCTAATGGCAGAGGCAAACACAGCCTCAGTGGTCAGCGGTGCTGCTCAGCACCTCCCCTTGGAGGGATCGCAGAATGACACGTTTCCTTGGTGCTGTGGCTGCAGTCCCAGAGCCTGTGCAGGGATTGCGGCCTTCTTCCTTCCTTCTGAGGCGTCTTCTCCTCCTTGGGAATCTGTCCTCGGGAGAATTTCTGAAACGTTGGCTGCCGTGGGAAACTGGGAGGCAGGGCAGCCCGAGACCTTTGCTCCTGTGTTTCTCTGCCCCACGGTTGTAGTTGTATTTCACTTTCCGAATGTCAGGTTGTTTGTATTTAGGGAGTAGGTTAGCTTCTAACGTAGGCACTTTTCTGAGTGTGTTAAATGTTAGATAAAATAAAACAAAAGTCTTGGTATTTATTTGATAACTGGTTAGTTTCTTGGAACTTCAGAAGAGCTTTTCAAATCGCCCAAATAGCCACTGTTTTAATACAGGAATCCACGTAGAAACTGAAGCCACATGCTTTCACCTCAGAATGTAGCAAAGGAGAAGGAACCCTTAGCCAGGTGAAAACATCGAATCGGCTTGGGTATTTTTTAAAGTGTTTTTTTTTTTGTTTGTTTCTGAGGGTGTGGGGGGTAGGGGAGAAGAAACATAAACCTGTTGAAGAAAGTCTAGTTTATAGAACAGAAAATCAGTAGTTAGAACAAACTTTAACGCAATACATTTGGAATCCTGTTAGAAAACACATCGCACCCTAGCCGGTTTGGCTCAGTGGGTGGACCGTTGGCCTGTGGACTGAAGGGTCGAGGGTTCGATTCCCATCATGTGCACAGACTTCGGTTGCAGGCTTGATCCCTGGTCCTGGTTGGGGATCGCGTGGGAGACAACCAGTTGATGTGTCTTTCCCACATTGATGACCTCTATCTTCCCCTCCTCCCTCCCTTCCACTCTCTCTAAAAATCAATGGGAAAATATCCTTGGGTGAGGATTAACCACAACAAAAAGAATACACATCGCTGCGCAGACTCAACTCCAAGTGGCCAGGTGGAGTTATTGTCATGGTTTTAAGAATTGCTGCAGAACACGTGTGTACTCACGTGGGGGTCTGTGCTTCCTCACTCTGTGCTCGCTCCGGGAGGCCCTGATGGGACCAGGTAGTGACAGTTCCTAGGGAAACCCTGTCTGCTCATGTCAGGAAGTGGCTTCTTGAGAAACAATAACATTATCATGAAGAGTCGCTTCTTGGGTTTAGTTCTTTCAAGGGCGGGGGCTCCTGTCAGCTCCTCACAGGTTAAGGATGACTTCGGTGGAGAAGGTGAGGTGGAGAGCAGAAGTGGAACAGGTGCCACAGAGCTGAGCCCGC